GGTTAGTAAGTGGGAGAAAATCTGCAGACTTCCAACTTCCATCCTCACAGAGAATAGATTGAATATGATAATATAATACAAACCAGTATCAAGAAAGGTGTTAGTCAGATTCCAGAAGTAACTTCTGGCTTAAAAATAAATGAAAACCTGAAATAGGGCACTCTGAAAAAACAGTGTTTTTTAAGATAAGAGAATTTTCTAGTTTAAGCTTTATTAAATTTAGTCAGATTTGGGTGCCCCCTAAAAGGAATTGGAAAGACTGTGCCCCAAGCCTTTTCCTTTTCACTGCAAGTTATACAAAGTCCATACATTAGGATTTGAGGCCATGAGGAAAGTCAGAAACACCTGTCCTATGACCTGTACTAGTTGAGAATAATTTTCCAGTGCCGGTGTGATTTTTGCTCCTCTGCAGGTATAGCATTTACTGAGCCCCTCCAGATGCAAAGTGCTGTGCTATGCTCTGAGATGGGGTTTAGGGGAGAAGTTACAAAGAGTGGTGCATAAGGACAAGAGAGGTCACCACTTACTCTCCTGAATACGGTACAGGCACATGTGCTAGTTGCTAGAGGTGGCTCAGAGAAAGATGATTTCAGTAACCTTCACAGGTGAATAGAATTTGTTTGGGGAGAAAGGAAGATGGATGAAATTGTAAGCTAAGCAAAGAAGCAGAAAAGTTCAAGAAGTGCTGGGAGTCAGTGAGCAAATCCTGCCTGCCCCCCCTGCCCATTTGGGTTTCCTCAGCCTCCCCTATCCAGGCTCGCCACCTTTCTGGATCAGTGAAAGCTGCAAGTCCACAAACCCCATAGTCACTGTTAATTTGCTCAATGGGAAGTACCTCCAGAGACCATTTCCTAGTTTTTATGGGGAAAACTATATAAATACATTATCTTTTACTGGTACTCTATTCATATATATTTCATACTCAGCTAAAATGCATGAAAATAAATTCATAAACATTGGCACTGGAGGTAAATTTATACAACATCAAGTTTCACCAATTCATTTTCTGGAGGATGAAACTGATGTCCAAATTGAAAACCTAATTTAATTGCCAGAAGTCAATTAATTGGACAAAAAGGTTGAAGAATTTCCACATCTCCTAATCTCTAGTCAGTGCTCTTTTCACTGTACCAAACTCCATTGTGTTATAGGTGCATGCATTTGTATGAATAATTTGAAGGAAATGTCTTCATTCTCTTCTCTCTATTACAAGGGGCCCCAAGAGCTTGAAAGCTGTTATCTTGATTTCTGTGTGCACCTGCCCTTCATTTCTCTCTAACACACTCGCTGCTAATGTGCTTGTCTGTGCATTTGCTGCTTCCTCCAGATTTCCACGAAGAATACCCAGTTTCTTATCTCTCAGTAATACAGTTTCCTCCTGTTATCACTAACCAGATACTTCCTGCCTCCTTATATTGCAGTACTTACAGTTTTCCCATATAACACCCCTTGGATAGGTCTCATCAACCCAAGTGTGGCAAAAATTAGGCAAAATTAATGTACTCAACTCCCCAGTCCCATGTCCAAGGTGGTACAGTTGTGAAGATTATCTTAGATCTACCTTGTATCTTTTCACTTAGACTTGAGATTATTGTTGCTTTTTCAAATGAAAAAAATTATCCCATTCTCACCCAAGTTGCCTGGAAAATGGCTGTCATAGTCTGTGGGCAGCAGAGTGCTTAACCTGTCTAGATTTTTGTTGCCATAACTGTAATAGCCATTTATTCGTAAGCCTTTCTTTGGAACTCTTAAGCACTAAGAATTGTTTTCGTAGGCATTTTCTTTTAGGTATTTCCATTAAGTAAAACTTCTATACATTGGACATAGAAATAGACAGCAAATAGAAGTAGTCAAGAAAATACAACTTCTGTTCTCAATAGGAACTCCTAGGGTAGAAACAAGTCATAGAGTAACCCTCTCTCTTCTCTCCAACATTCAGCCCAAGACATTTTTACAAGTTCAGTAAGCACATGGTTATAAGTTTATTGTTACACTTTTGAAGCTGCTCTCTCTGCCTGTGTCAATGGTGACTGTGTAAGGCACTGGGCTCTTTTGAAGAATAGTCACCTACTAAATATTTGTCTAGAGAATAAATTTTCATTAAGCAATCACAATGGGTTAGATTCCATTTTTTGAAACACAGCAGTGAACAACCCAGACAAAAATCTCTGCCCTCTTGGAGCTTATATTCTAATCAGAAGAGCAAACAATAAATAAAATGTAAAGTATGTTAATGATGAGAACTAAAAAGAAAAAAATCAAGCAGGGAAGGAACTCAAGTGAAAGTGATTGCAAGAGACTGCAGAAGCCAGGCCTGGCTTCATGGAGGAAGTTGATTAAGAACTGGGATTTGTATGTTGAGTATGGCAAAGACTGAGGAATAAAAACAGGGAGGGGGAAAAGAATATGAGAAAACTTGGGGTTGAAAGAAGGAAAATTGGAGAGGGAATTAGCCTATATTACTGTATTATATTTTCAAAGATGTGGAAGGAACATAAAATAGATTCATATCACCACGGATGTTGAAACCCTCTACCTACCCTCTCAGTTAGTGAGATTCTGGGACTGTGCTAGGCATTATGGGGATTCAGCTGTAAAATGGCATATGCATAGTTTATAGTATGAGAAGCATCACATCTTAGGGCTGTAATGTCCTTGTTGACAAACTGAGACCGGAGAAGGGGATTGAATTTTCCAAGGTTACACCATTAATAAGTGGCACAGTAAAGTGTGGGAGTCAGATATCCCTCTCTCCTTCCCTCCTTCCCTGCCTTCCTTCATTCTTGCCTTCTTGCCTTCCTTCATTTCTTTTAAATTCTCCTAACCACCAAAAGTGTTTTTGTGAACTAAAGATTCCCTGTGATTTAGGTGAGGTGCATTGCCTCTGGAATTAAAGACAATACGCAAGTCAGCCTTTGCTATTTTCTTCTCTGGACTGACTGGAACCAACTTATTAAATATTTTGGAGGAATGAGGCAAACAAACTCTGATCCAGGCTTTTTAGACTCTTTTCCTAAGTTCTTCCTAGTGGCAGTTTCTTCCTTTCTTTATCACCTCACAACAGCTCTGATCAAAGGACAGCAAGTCATCTCTGCTACCCTCTTTATAGCTTCTCTATGACACAATCTTAATTCAATGATTTAAATTCCCCTAAATGGCACAGGCAGTAGGCCCAGGGT